AGCGGGAATGCCCTGAGGGGAGCGGGAATGCCCTGAGGGGAGCGGGAGTGCCCTGAGGGGAGCGGGAATGCCCCGAAGGCAGCGGGAATGCCCTCAGGGCGGCTGGAATACCCTGAGGGGGGCGGGAGTGCTCTCAGGAAAGCGGGAATGCCCTGAGAGGAGTGGGAGTGCCCCGAGGGCGGTGGCAGCCGAGGCCCGGGCCATGCCCCGGGCCGTACCCCGCGTCCCCCGGCGCCCTCTGGCGGGTCGGGCCATGGCCGCCGCGGGTGTGTGGGCGGCCCGGGGGGCGGTGGCGGAGGCGGAGGAGAGCGTGGCGGTGTGAGGGAAGGGGAGGGCAGAGCCGCGCCGGGCGGGCGGGCGACACCTGGGCGGCTGCGCTGTCCTCCTCCTTCTCTCACGTAGGTTTCGACTTTCTTCCCCGCCCGGAAACTTGGTGGAGGCGCCGCGCTCGCCGCCGTCGCAGGCCGGGCTGGCGCTGGGCTCCTCGCGCCTCCTCACTGCCCTTCCCGGGGGCGAGAGAGCCCTGTCCCAGCCCCGGTGGCCGCAGGTGAGCGGGGGTTGTGCGGTGTGGGAGGGACACAGGGGTCCCACCAGGCTGAGGGCGGGGAGATCTCACCGGGGCTGAGGGGAGCGGGTGTCCCGCTGGGGTTGAGGGGACACGAGGGTCCCCTGAGGGGACGTGGAGTGTTGAGGGGACTCGAGGTCCCCTGAGGGGACGTGGAGGTCCCACTGGGGCTGAGGAGCGCGGGGGTCCCCTCGGGGGACGTGGAGGGTTGAGGGGACACGAGGGGCCGCGGGGTCCCTGCAGGCGGCTGCAGATCAGCCGAGGGCGGCAGGTCCCGCCCGGCCCTCCCAGGAGGGTTCCGAGTCCATGTCCCTGATCGGGAGCGCAGGTGGAGGCTCAGCCCCAGGGTTTGGCTCCTCGGAGCTCGGCCCTGCCGCCCAGCAGGGCTCGGTCCTGTGCGGGACCCCTCTTGCCAGGGGTCAGAGGGAGCCTGTGGGGCAAAGTGTCTTTTGCCGGGAGACGGAGAGGGGCCGAGTCGGCGGGTTTACTGGTAATTAATGCAGGAAAAATAGCCTATAAATAGAAGTTGAGATAACAGACAAAGCACTGCAAGGTGAGGATGGTGGACCTTTTGGAAATGCCTTAAAGGTAGGAGGTACAGGTGGTGATAAATATGAGGTAATGCTCTGGACAGGGTGAAGTTTAACCTGTGTTTAAGAGTTACCATATATGTGGAAAGATTTTTATTTGGAAGTTTTTTATGAGGGGTGTAAAGCGGGGTGAGGCCGTGCTGTGAGAGGGTGATCCCGCTCTGGCTGTGTGCTCTTGGCATCTCTGTCCTTCTGACATGATCCTCGCTGTCTGACTGAGAAGGAGCAGGAGAGGCAGCAGCCGGCTGATGCCAGCGCAGGAGGTGGCAGGGAGAGCAGGGCTGCCCCTTTCGGTGGCAGTGCAGGCTTGGTTTGCTTTAAGCTAAGCTTGAAACAGCACTTTCAATTCCCTGAGCGGTTTTGGGGTCCTATTTTACCTTGGTAAGGCAAGGAATGCAAAATGAGTGATTCCCCGTTGCTTACCAACCCGAAAAAGGGTCATATTTTCACTTCTGCTCCAGTTTTTAGCCAAGGCAGAAGAACCAGAATATAAAGTCTCCATAGGAGAAACTGTTCCAACTCCAGTGCAGACACTAAGTGGTCGGGAAGGTCTCTGCTGTGCAGAGGGTGTGTCGGAGCAGGGGCACAGCCCACAAGCCTATGGAGATAATGGGCAGCCCAGGGATGTTTCTGGTGGTCCAGTGTAATCCTTTTGCCCCTGCAGGGTCCAGAGCAGCCCGAGGTTTGGGTGATGTGGTCTGCAGAGCTGTGGCTCTCCAGCAGTGCCAGTTGTGTGCCTTTGAGAGACGGCGCTGACGTTTGTCCTTGATGCGGGGAGGCCAGAGCTCTTCTGGCAGCTCTCCAGCACAGAGGGAGCACATTGCACACATGACTCCTTCAAAACAAAACTTCTTTCTCTGAAGTTGCGCACTCAGAGTCATCTCTCACCATTTCTCTAAGCAGATGTAGTGTGTCTGCTGCTGAAAGGGCCTAAGGCAGTGGGAATATTTATTCCATCCCCCAAAGAGATTTGCTCCCTGAACCAGCTTATGAAGTCGGAACAGCATCAGTGCTTGTCCAGGGAAAAACAAAGGGGTCTTATGGCTGAGGATAGAGCGGAGAAATGATAAACAGGAGGCCAGCCTTTCCTGGGTTTCACCAGCTGTGCTGTAAATCTACTCACCTTAGCTGTGTGTCTGAGCTGGCGGGAGAGCTGGATGCACACGAAACTCATTGAAATAATGGGGCTACACTACAATAAACCCCATGAAATGGGGAGAAGGACCTGTGGTGTGCAGCAAAAGGGAACCTCGGCTGTTAAACAAGTTTCAAGTTCCTAACCAAAGGAATACTGAGGGAAGGGAGAAAGAGTTAAGAAGCAAGACCCACCATATGGCCTGGGGAGTGAGAGCTGAAAAAGGTGGAAGAAACAGCTCCAGCAGGGACCAGAGCTATGTGACCTCCAAAGAATCCCACAAGGTTTGGAGATACCTGATGAAACAGATTGAGGATTATTCTGGATAACTTCAGTGCTGCCTGAATTGTAGTTCCAGTACCTTCTAGAAATTGTAATTAGTTTCATAAACTAGTGCAGTACTTCCCTAAGTATGGTTAATAAAAGAACTTACACATTTGAGACTGTAGAGTCTTAGACTTACACTATTTAATAAGAATAAATATAAGTGCAGAATGAAATATCTGTAGTTCATGAAGCACCCCAGCTGTATTGAGTTACTCTTCCTCCTGCATTGTCATATATTCTTTTCTGCATTAAAATAAAAAAAAAATCCTGCTGCAACAGCTACAGTATTGGTTTCACTTTGAAAATTAAGCTGCATCATTTCATTCTGCTCGTGTGTGTCTCGCCAGAGCAGCCGCAGCTGTTGCCTTACTCACAGCCCTGAGTATGTTTTGCTGGTTTAATACAAACCCCTCTTGTTTGGCTTTTCCTCCTCCTCTTGCTTTAGTGGTGCTGTTCACACAGTTGTTAGGAATCGCATTTGACAGTCCCTCGTCGTTATGTTCCCTGAGTTATAACACAGAAAATGTTGCTCTTGGCTTAGAAATTTCTTGACACCAATTGAATTTGAAAATACGAAAATATCTGGCAGTTTTTCTGATGCCTCAGATAAGAAATTGCCTGTGAGTCAGTATCTCACAAACCATCTAAAGGGTTAGAGGGGATTTAGATGAATGAGTAGTAGGAATTACTGTGCTGGTCCAGGGAAAAGCACTCCAGGCTGGAAGGAGGGAAATGGAATAAAGCTGGAGGGATTTGGGGAGACAATCAGCAGCTTACAGGCCAAGGCTGGTTTGATGGATACGTAGTGATCCCCTGAGTTTAGAGGGTCTCTGTGCAAATTTTGGTTGAAGACTGTAGTGCTCTTCATTTAGAATATTCTGGAAGGGAAGTACTAGAAGGGATTATGTATTTTTAAAAAGTGTCGTTTGCCTACTCTTTGCCTGGACCTTAAATCATGCAAGTTTTGTAAACAGCTGTAGCAGACTCTCTCTTTAAAAGCAGATTTTCTGACAGTTAAAAATGGGTTAAGATAAAACTTGACCTGCTCCTCTGAGAGTTTAAGGGATTCACCTGTGCCATCAATGTGGCAGTTGTTAAAAGTCCTCTAAATGGTGGTCAGCCTTATCTGAAAAGTTCTCATCTATTAGCCCAGGGCTGGGGGTTGATAAAGATGAATTCTTCTCACCTCATAAATGCTATTGCAGATCTCTAAATAGCAAATAAATAACTAAAGCAGTGCCTGCCCTGGGAAATTTCGATCTGAGGACTTCCTCTTTTACTGATCTCCCTTGGTAGTGAACAGAAACTGCCTCCTGATTATTTCGAGGATACATGAAAATACAGGGAATGAGTCTTCTGGGCCTTTTTGTCCTCGGGGAAAAAACGCGGTTCCCGGGGAGGTTCACACCGGGGGTACTTTGCTCCTACTCGAGGGCTGAAGAGTGGCCAGAGGAAGGAATTGCTTCCCCATTCCTGCCCCCCGCGGGGCTGCGGGTCTTCACGGGTGGCTAGGGAGGAATGTGGCTGCATTGAACTGGGAACAGCTTTACTCTGTTGTCTCAGCTCACTGAACTGGCGGGACGGCCACACCCATTTTTAAATTAGTTTTAGAACAAGGGAAAATGTAATTATCAATTCATGCACCCTGCAAATATGTGCCCAATACAGTGACATGACAGTGGGGTTTAATGTTCTATTTCTGCTTTGACAAAGCTCTAAATCAGGATAGGAATTGAAATAAAACCAACAAACCTCAAATCAAAAAAACCTGTTGCAGTTTTGTTTCCCCCAGCTGTGAGGGTTGTTTCAAGTGAACAAGATATTCCAGGAGAAATTGTCCTATGAAAAGGCATCTGAAATTCCATGTGCAGCTGTAGTCAAGCTCCTGCACCAATAATCCAGGTGTCCTAAGCAGCAGGTTGTGTCTCAGGTCCTGTAAACCTGAGCTATAACACTGGTCTGTATGTAATTCTTAATCCAGAGATTTTTATTTGGAGTGTTTTATTTCTGCTGTTTTGCTTATTTACTTCACCTGTGGTGAAGGGCATTTCAGCTCCCGGTTGCAGCAGCAGCTCTGCCTGCCCAGGGGCACTGGCGGGAGTTTAAGTTCACCTCGAATTTAGCTGCTGTTTGAGGAGACCTGCTCAGACAACTAAGTTTTGGGTTCTTTTGTTTAAATGAAGATAACTTGTTTACTTTCTTTCCTCTTTACCTGGTGAGATGCAATGTAAAGGGGAATTACAGACTTAATTATTTCTTAATTCACTTTTTTAAGTTAGTGGGAACAAGCTTGGGCTAGAAAGTCCGTTGCACTGGGTTTGATAAAATGCCCAGTGATTCCATGAA